CAACAACTTTCTCCTCATAAATTAGAAGAACTTGAATTATTATTGAGAAGTCATTTATTACTTTCAAAAAAGATTCACTCCAGAAATTAGATTAAAATGTTATGAATTTAGGGAAAATAGACTGGTTGCCATTCTGGCACAAAGACTGGTCTACATATCTGCAGGCAGTGATGGCATTCAATGGGCCACATGACACAAGAGAACAGGGACCCTAGGCCACATAAGTTACAGTCAGAAACTGACTTTAATTACTATAACAAAGTGAGCCCTCTGGAAAGTCATGGTATATGAAAGTTTAAAAGTAGCATCTCACCTAGATATAGCTACAATTATCTATTTTAATTTCAAATATAATTAATATATAGCCTATATTTCTAAAGGAAAAAGCAAGTTTCACAGTCTTGAAATAGGGTGTATATGCACGGTACCTTATGTAGAAGTTGATATAATGGTGGCAGAGAGAGTCTGAACACCCAGATTTATCAGATAACTGGAACCTTAGACAAAGGAGAATAGAAAATCTTCCTAAAGGCCAGTTTACAGTACTGTATTTTGCTCCTGGAACCCTACATACACACACCTGTGTGAGATGTCAGAAGAGAAATACAAGAATCCAAGCAAACAGGAAGACAGGGCCACAACCTGCTGATGTCCTGAGTGCTCATATGGCCTTCATCTATTCTTGAATTGTGGAACAGGGACTTTACTAATGTAAAGTACATAAGAGCAAGAGATGACAGCTCAGGAGCTCATGGAACAAGACCATTTCCCTGTGACACACACAGTGTGTATCACACAGTGACCAAGAAACAGCATCTCAGCATTCCTGACAGTAATTCCTATTAAAAAATAAAAAAAAAAAAACATTAATAATGATCTGAAAAGAACCCTGAAATTAAAACTTTAAACATGGTATGGTTGCCCATGGCTGGAATTCCTCCATCAGGAGTGTGAGAATGGATAATTGTCAAATTCTGAACTTGGGGTAGCTGATAAAATTCTTTTTTAACAAAAACAAACAAACAAAAAATTTGAACATTTTCAGAATTTGAGAAATCTGTGTATTTCAAGATACTTGAGGTAACTTCAACATTAAGCTGGCAATTGAGAGCCCTGATGCTGATACTAGATACAGAACAGTGCCTCTTTAATTCCTTCACTTCATTTTTTTTATCACTCACATATTTAATTGTAGTGGATTCAGTACATTACAGTACTCTAGAGTGTTAGATTACATTCTTTCTAAAGTTAGCTCTTGGACAGAGAAAATTCTTCCAAACCTACCAAAGAAATGAGGATTTTTCTGAGTTTTCTAAGTTGGCCAAATTGTGTTTAGGTAGATTTCCATTGTTGCTTAAGGCCTAGTTTGGCTTCATGTATTCAGTGAACTTGGACAATCTGCACTATAATTTTTTTTCATGGAACAAGAAGAATGTTGAAAGGCTCTGGGAACAGAACAGCTGTATTTTGTTTTATTCTGTTTCATTAATATGTTCAGAGCAAAAACTGGCTCCAACTTCAAAGAACTGATTTCAATTACCTTCTCTATAATTACCAGAAGCACATGCAGAAGAATGCACTTCAAAAATTTACATTTTATATTAGCCCTTGGTCCAGCGAATAAAATTCCTTGTGTCAAATTTATGTCAGGATCAATAGAGTCATACAATAAGTTTTGGGGTGGATGCATGCAATTATTCCATGGGGCAAAATAGACCATGAAGAACACAAAGGGCTATTTCCAATCTCAGGGTATCACATCACAGGTGGGGAGAATGTCTGCACAGAACAATGATGGAGGCTTAATATGAAATCCAAAAAATAAGTGCTAAATAGTTGTAAGATTATAGAGATACTTAAAAAAAAAGTTCAGCTTTCTGAAGTAACAATTCTCACTGAGTGTTTTGCGTGAAATGACTCTCCACTATTTGAAGCTGCTGTGCTGGAGGCCTGCTTAGAAAGACAATGGACCCTGCTTTCACAGAGAAAGACTGGCTTTTAACTTGATACTGTAATAACTTGGCAAGATTGGCACTATCCCAGTAAGTAATGCCTTGATTACATCATGGGACTCCTAGTGCCAGTTTGTCTTTAAGTATTTAATGGGATTCAAACATTTTCTCAACACAGCATATTTACTTTGAAATGAAATCTTCATTAGTTTGTCTGGAAAACTGAGTGGAAAAGTTGCCTGTCCTTTTGGTTTTTTTATTGCTACTCATGTAAACATCAAATACAAGCTTTTATGAGAGATAAAAGTCACTTTACAGAAATCAAAAGAAAAACATGGTTCAAACAAAGCCCTACAACACTTAAAACTACTTCTATTTATTAAATAATATTCAATCCAAATAGCCAATATGTTTTTCTTGCTAGCTGACATCCATGGTTTCTTAGAGGTTGTAATCCATTTGTCCCAGACCTTTCTGAGTTTCACATTCTCCAATGAGAAGCCAGGCATTCTTCAAATGGGCCTGCATTTATATGTGACTTGGTCTTTTTCCCTTGCAGCTCTTAATATCCTTCATTTGTTATGTATATTTAACGTTTTGGTTATTCTGTATTGTGGGTATTTTCTTTTATCATCCTGTTTATTTGTTGATCTAGGTACCTATTGTACCTTGATGGGAGTCTCTTTCTTTAAATTGGAGAAATTTTTTTCTATGACTTGATATAATTATTTTCTATGTGTTTGACTTGTGTTTCTTCTGTATCCCTATTATTCATAGGTTTGGTCCCAGATTTTATGGATGTTTTCACCTATGTTTTTTTTTTAATATCAATGTTTTCTTTTACTGAGCTATCATTTCTTCTACCTTGTCCTCAAGATCTAAAATTCTTTCTTTTGTGTCTTGTAATATGTTGGTTAGGCTTATCTCTGAGGTTTTAGGATGACATCTAAAGTTTTTAATTTCTAGTTTTATTTCAATTTGTGTTTTCTACTTTCATGCCTTGAATTGTTTTCATTATTTCATTTCAACTGCTTGGTTTTCACAGTCTTCTTCATTTATTCATATCCTCTTTAATATCCCTGAACATATTAATAATTACTATTTTGAAGTCCTTGTCTTGAGCTTCAGCTAAATTGCTTTCCTTGGGCCTTACCCAATAGAGTTGCTGGGTTCTGGAGAAAGAACTTTGTCTTGGTTGTTCGTGTGTGTGTGTGTGTGTGTGTGTGTGTGTGTGTGTGTGTGTGTGTGTACTAGAATCTAAGTGACTGGAGCTACAATGTTTGAATTTTTTTTTTTTTTATTTTGGGGGATAAATTTCTTGTCTTTATTGGGTGGGTGTTCTGTTCTTTGTTGCTTTTGCCTACTCTGGGTCCTAACCAAGTGTGGTAGCTGTTGGTTTTCCGAATCACAACCAAGTGTGGTAGCCCTGGGTTCCTAGCAGAGGGTTGTTCTGCATGAGGGCAATCACAGGGGAATGGAGATGGACTAGAAGGAAATAGTGAAAGGGACCACTAGGAAGAACTACTGGGATCCTGGGTCTGCATCAGGAGTTAAATCCCAAGGGATTAGGATGCTCTGGGTGGGAGGGGCTTAGGCAGATGAGCTCCAGCTAGACTAAGGGCAAGTCTAGTGTGACTGGAATTGAAGACAGGAAGGAGGATAATCATCCCACTTGAGTCCCAGCCAAGTGTGGCCACTGTGAGTCCTTGATAGAAAGAGATTCTATGTATGGGTGGAGCCATCAGACTAGAGATGGGCTAGAAGGAAATACCCTTTCCAGGCCATCAGGGAGTATTTCTTTTTCTATCATTGAATTCTAATTACAAATGTAACTGTGGACATAATATTCCAAGCAGAAACCTCAGATTACATTTTGTTTTGCTGCAGCTTGTCTGTCTGCATTCATTGCCCACTGAATAATAAGCAGCTTGAGATTTTGGGTAGCCAGAGACTGAAATGCATGGACATTTTATACAAGTGGGATTTAATAACTTGTTGATAGTTATATCAATTTTGAAATTAACCTGGTAAGATAAAAAGACAGGGTTTTTACAGCAAGTTAGAACAATATTGTGGCTCCACTGTTTAGCATTCAACATAAAATAATTATTTGAAATGTGTAAGTTTAGGTTTATAAACTGCTCATAACTAGGATTGTTTTTTCAGGTACCTAATGGTTACTCACATAGAATAGTTTAACTAATTAGATACACAATTACAATAACTACTAAGGAGTAATTCCACTCATCTTTTATTCCAAATAAATTTATTATAATATTCCCAAGTACATGTTCATGAAATTGTTCAAAGGTATTGAAGTAATAGTTCATTTCAGTTAATGCACTTTTAAAATCTGCATACTGGGTTTATTAAATAGTCTGAAAATGATAGATGGTAAAGCGCAGTGGTGTTATTATTACCCCAACTACCAGTATTTATGTACCTTATGTAGCCCATTAGTTGCTATATTTAATTATAAGAAGGATTACCTAACTCTAGCCCTTTGCCTTTTTATATAATTGGAAAATTATATAAAATCACATTAATTTTTTACCTCAAAGGAACACAAAGAAACTGTAGGCATCTTTCAGAGCAAATACTGTTTGGAGACTGAATTTCTATCTCTCCCGTTCTGAGCTGGTCATACTTCTGTCCAGGTGTATATAGTCATCTAGAAAATTCCTGTGGGAAGATAGAGGTGGGATGAAGGAACATTCCTTGTTTTCTTTCAATTTTGTATTTCTGTGCTAAAAGTATTTAAATTAATATTTTGAAGTTAAAAAAAAAAGAAATGATTTAAAAGTCCTAGAAATCATATTCAGATATTTCAGTCTCCAGTCTCTCTGTTCCAGGTTATACAGATTTACTCAAATATGAGATAAGTGGGAATAAGCAACATGAATCAACAGAAATCTAACTTCCAATTACCTCCTATCGATGACCAAATCACTGAATTCGGTAGCCAAACGAAATGAAATTTTAAAATGCAGTTAAATCAAGTACGCCTCTCTGACACCGTGTCGCCCTTTGTGATTTCTCAAAACACAGCAAAAGTCACCGTCAGAGTCCTTCATCGGTCGCGAGAAGAGGTCAAATTCACAGTCGTACATTGGACGGCCCATTCAGCTTGACAAGATTTTGCTGTCTAAGGTGAAGGTGCCGCACACCTTTGTCATCCACTCCTACACTCGGCCCACGGTGTGCCAGTTCTGCAAAAAGCTCCTCAAGGGCCTCTTCCGGCAGGGCTTGCAGTGCAAAGGTGAGGACCGCCTGGGCACCCGTCGCCGCTGGCTGCCTGCCACCCTTGAAGCCCTAAATGAACCATCTTTCTTTTAAAGTTACTATATGTTTGTGTCATGGTTCTGATACATTTCTGGTTTTTTGTTTTGTTTTAAAATCACCGTGATTAGATTGCAGATTCAACTGTCACAAACGCTGTGCACCAAAAGTACCAAACAACTGCCTGGGTGAAGTGACCATCAATGGAGGTAGGGGACAGATTCATAGTCATCTTCTGTGTTGCATGCCAATCACCGAGGGTAGTATATATGGTGTGTCAGGGTTTTTTCTCTTTCATTTTTCAGTTAAGATATTTGTAACTCAGCCACAAATCAATAGTGGCTCGGGTTCCTCTCTGAAATGGAAACTTCCATTCCAGATTATTGGGTTTTGATATAATAATAATAATAATAATAATAATAATAATAATAATAATAAAATCTTCACACAGTACACAATTCATATACACACTTGCATGCCTGTCATTTCTTGCTTACCCTCATTCCCTATGTCTAGTTCATTCAGAAATATAGACCATATTGGAATACCTACAAACCAGTGCTCCCTCTCAATTTCTCTGCCCTGCTTCCTCTAAGCTTTGAGACACAAGTTAACGTTATTCCCCAGCCTCTGATGAAGGTCAAGATCACAGCCTGGACTAGTGCAGACTACTGCTTCAGTATACACATGAGTGTGACCCTGAACCCAAATAGGAAGAAGACCTTAACTTGTCAGAAAGTGTTCTTCTTCTTAGATTTGGGAATATTTTCTTGGGAACAACCCCATGACATGAATTAACATTGATTCATCCCACACCCTAGGTAGTGTTCTTAGGATTGTCCCTATTTGTCTGTGACTTAGGATCCCAGGCTCCCTTTTCCTAAAGACCATGAACTGTGTCTGTTTAATCTTCAAACCAATAGATGTCCAGAATCTCTGGTTATAGAACCTCAGAAATATAAACAGACATTTGTGCTATGAAAAGCTAAAGAATACATGATTGCATTTACTCTCAAAGAAATAGACCTGGTAGGGGGCAAAAAGCAGGGGTGGGGGTGAGGCACTCTCTTGGAAAACATTCTTATACATACAGATTTCTAGCATAAAGGTCCAATGTTAGCTGGCAAAATTGAAAACTTGGCAAATTTCCCACTTTCTGAGGCATGTGATATTGACTCTTTTCAATCCCAGGGAATTTCAATTAGACTTGATAAATAGAACCCAGGGGAAATGGAGAAGTTTGTGATGTGGATGACTTGAAGATTGCACTTTCCTGTATAGCCAGAGCAATGTGGTAAAAAAGGGAATTTCCCAGACTTAGAGGTTCAGAGCCTCTGACTGACCTGTTTTTCTTATTTTCAAGTGAGTAATTTGCATTAGTGAAGTAATTAAAATTTTACCATTGCCGTCAACTGCACATAGACAGGATTTAATATTCAAATAGCAAATACTTGAGGTATTTAAAAGTTGTAGTTTATGTGAAAATTTTAATATATTGGGATATGTGATTTAAGAAGTTAACTGCAGTAGTAGTTATAGGTGACCTTTGTTTTTCCATGTTAACTTACCCCCACATGAGTGTTTGTTTTTTTCCCCCCAAGAGGGATGTCCTATGAAATATTACAGTTTCCTGGTCAATTATTCCTGGACATGGCTTCCTAGCACTGGACCTGTGAGCCTTATTTTAGAGAATTTCTTCACTTTTAATGTTTTGGGTTTTGGTGTGTTTTTTTTTTTGTTGTTTGTTTGTTTTTTGTTTTTTGTTTTGTTTTGTTTGGTTTGGTTTGGTTTGGTTTTTGCCTTAGAGACCTGGGAAACAAGCCCCAGGCTGTGAAATTTTGTTGACTGTCTCACACATTCACATCCTATGAATAAAGGTGTAGCTTGAGTTTTCCTGCCTGGCCCACAGTCAGGACAAATCTCTCTCACCCGCCAGTCCCACAGCCGCTCAGAACCAACCAAGTAAACACAGAGACTTATATTGCTTACAAACTGTATGGCCATGGCAGGCTTCTTGCTAACTGTTCTTATATCTTAAATTAATCCATTTCTATAAATTTATACCTTGCCATGTGGCTCGTGGCTTACTGCCTTCCTGGTCTCTCAATTCTTCTCTCTGTTAGGCCCGCCTATACTTCCAGCATGGCCACTGGCCAATCAGTGTTTTATTTATTGACCAATCAGAGCAATTTAACATACAGACCATCCCACAGCATAAAGGTGTAAAAGGAAATGAGAAGATGAGTTCTTTGTAGGATTCAGCTTGCAGAGCTTATAGGCAATTTGTTAGGACTTTCTTTCCCGTTAAGTACTGGCTCCAAGATTCCAGACTTATCTTCTCGGGCCCAAACACTTTTCTAGATTTGCTTAGCCCTGGGGCAGAATCTGATGTGGTTATGGAAGAAGGAAGTGATGACAATGACAGCGAGCGGAACAGCGGACTCATGGATGACATGGAAGAGGCCATGGCCCAGGATGCCGAGATGGCTATGGCAGAGGGCCAGAGTGATGGTGCAGAGATGCAGGATCCAGACGCAGACCAGGAGGACTCCAACAGGACCATCAGGTCAGAGCCCCACTGGGACTCAAGCAGTTTCAGTCTGTAAAAGAAGCTTAGGGTGTGCCTGACTCCATTGTGAAGAACTGTATAGTGTAGAGGAAAGCCTTTGGAACTAGGTAGCCTGGCTACCCTGGGAAGAGAGCTTGCATCAGAGAGCTTGCTTTACTTTTCTGTGGACCCATTCTCTTTGTGCAGGAGGGATACACCTATTTCCTATGGTCATTATGAAGTTAATAGTTAATCGTAACTCTAAGTTCACTGTGTGGAAATGCAATAATCAGGGCTGAACCTCAGCAGAAATCACTTACTTTAAAACTGACCCCTATTATAAATATCATGTCCTGTGTGCACCTCATTGCTCTTCATTTTATTTCAGCAATACATGTAATTTTCTACCTATTATCTACATTTATTATTTTAGCCCTGGGTGATCTTTACTTTCCATATTAGTAGTCAGTCCAGCATGGCCACCAGGTCAAATGGAACTGCTGCCTGCTTTGTAATTGAATCTTACTGCAACCATACCCATTCCTGTGCCAACCTTGCCCGTTCACACTGCCTGTGGCTGCTTCCATAATACAGTGGTCAGATGGTGAATTCTGCAAAACCCCATGATCCTCACCCCCTGACTCCTTACAGGAAAAGTTTCCCACTCATATTGACATTACAAACCATTCTGACACTTTTCTATCCACTTTACAAATGCCAAATTCATTACCACATTGAAATTAACCATGATCATGCAAGAATATATTGCATGTCTTCTATTTGCTGGAATAATAAGCATTCTTTTATTAGTGAAAAGTATTAGTCTTTTGAGCTGGCTTCCCTTTGAAGAACATACATTTCTTCTGTGCCTGAGGATTTGAGGGAAATAAAGGGAACGATGAAGAGGAAGAGAGCGAGAAAAAAATCCAGAAAGAGTTAGAGTCACTTAGAAGAGAAAAAGGTGAAGGATGAGAATAATCCCATGAATTATATGCTATATAAAAGGCAACTCAAAATGGCAAGTTCTAGTGTTTTTTAAGAAATCACTCAGACATGGTTCATGCAGAAATGCTATAATACATAATACCATAGTATGTAATCTATAAATTATTATTACCACACCTGTTATATACAATAAACTTTCCTATGCAGTTTTGAATACTGTGGCTTCAAAACACAGACAGCGAACTCTGTTGTTTTCCTACAAATATGAACACTGTCTCGATCAGTGTGAGAATCCCAGTGCTTCTTACTCTGCCTAGGGAGTTAGAAAGTGAGCATCTCAAGTACCTGTCACTCTCCCGAGGAACTCCCTTCCGAACCATCAACCCCTGACAGTACATTTCACTGAAAATGAGATGTGGATTCTTTGACTTCTGCTTTGAATAGTCTAAATGAGCTTTTATTCAGGAAAAGAAGATCTGAATGTGAAAATATTTCTCTCCTAACATATTTCGATGTTTCAAGCCCTTCGACAAGCAACAACATCCCCCTCATGCGGGTGGTGCAGTCTGTCAAGCACACGAAGCGGAGAAGCAGCACCGTGATGAAAGAAGGCTGGATGGTCCATTACACCAGCAAGGACACACTGGTAAGGAGACAGAAGCGCTCCATATGACGCTGCCTCCTCAGAGGACTGTGGGGTATGAGTTCTTGGAGTAGACCTCACAGCAGAGGCATGGGGTCAGCCGGGCACACACTGTCTGTAGGTGAATAAGAAATGGGGTTAGAATAAAACCGTACCAAGTAGTTACAGTAAAGAAAAGATTCTGCAGACAACCGGGCTGTCTACCTGTCGTTTCTAGGGCAGCATGAAAGTGTGTTTTCAGTATACCCCTCTGTGGTCTAGAGTTTTAAAAGAAACTGCAGTTTAGGGAGAGAGAGAAAACATTGGTGAATGTTACATATTCTCAGGACCTAAATTCTTTGTTTAAAAATTCAACCACATGGATGTGTGATTACCCTGTAGTCTGTTTCTTATATTATAAGTAGAATTCTAATAGCTGTATAATAAAGTTGTGCATGTGAGTAGAAGATGGCATTCTCAAGCTATGGTACAGAATTTCACTGATTAACATTTGGGGGGAGACTTTCATTGCAGTTTCCTCATCTCTACCCATCAATAAGATTTCTACTGTGTCTTTAGATAAAGATACTTGTGTGCCTTAATTGATGATTTATAATTTAACCTTCTTGTGGGAGAGGATATTTAGTTCAAGACTCAAGTGAACACTGGCAGTTTCTTCCTGAGTTTATTGTTTCAAGTATATTTAGTGTGTCTCTGGTCTATGAGTGGTTGTGAAAATAAGACTTTGGTTCTGAAAAGATGCAGATGCACACACGTCCATATAGGCCAGGTGCTTAAAGAGGAAAGCTGTTGAGAATGTAACAGTGCTAAGTGCATTTCTCTACTTTTGTTAACTTGGATCCATGAGGCCACACCTTCCATCAAATGAATTTTATTTAGTGACCTATCACTAAATCAAATAGAAGTGGGTTAGAGTAGAGTAGTTGTGAAAAGACCTAGCTGAATCATCAGGGTCTGTCATGTTCTGAAAGATATGCACATATAAACTTTCTATCTGTTATTAAGCTCTGTTTTATAGTAAACTACAAAATCCCCATTTAGCTCTTTAAGCAAATAAATGTTAAAAAAATATTTCGCCACTCATTACACATATGAAGTACCAGTTATTTCTCAGGATGCTAATCCGTTATCTCTATTTCTATTCACTGCATCCAAGGTAGGTACAGAAACCTGTCATGTTATGTTCGTTAGTCAGCTTCTAGAGTCAAACTGTGAGTCTTATTGGTCCAAAGTCCTCACACTTTTACCATTGAATCCATGTTCTCTATGAAAAAAAAAATTAAAAAAAAAACACTTGTTTTTAGAAAGCTCCTTTATCTTTAACGTTTTGTGACTTCTATTTCAGCGGAAAAGGCATTACTGGAGGTTGGACAGCAAGTGCATCACGCTCTTTCAAAATGACACGGGAAGCCGGTACTACAAGGTGAGGCAGGCTGCTATCAGGGTTGCTCACGCTCCTCCTTGCCTGGGAGGGATGGGAATCAGGAATGTTGTCCACATCCAGCTGTGTGACCATTCCTGGGCTTCTTCTGAGCTTTTCATCTCGGCCACAGAATTTTTGTAGGAATCTGGATGTAACCTCTTGATTCCTCTCTGAATCTCACCATGTCCTGCAATGTGCTTCTGGCTCAGGAGATGAAGAGCAGGATGGTGGAGATGGAGATGGGAGGAGGAGTATCTTTGCACAGTATCTTAGCACAGTAGTTGGTCACAGCCACTGACTCAGAATGAATTCTGAGATCCTCAGGAACCTAGCACAGCACTGGAGTTAACAAGTAGAGCTGTTCCTCCACACTGCCAGCACTTACTAGGATCAGGTTCCTCTATTTATTGACCAGCAATCGTCTCTCTATCTACATTAAATGGCACAGATATGGTGCCTAGCTTAGTTCCTTTGATTCTCCATGCTACCTTACACTGCTGTGACATAAAAGGAAGCGCTTTTACATTTTTTTCGATATATTTTTTAAATTTTATAATTAATTTAATTTTACACATCAGCCACGGATTCCCTTGTCCTCCCTCCTCCCCCCGCCCCCGCCCTCCCTGCAACCCACCTCCTATTCCCATCTCCTCCAGGGCAAAGACTCCCCTGGGGATTCAGCTCAGCCTGGTAGATTCAGTCCAGGCAGGTCCAGTCCCCTCCTCCCTTCACCTAGGCTGAGCAAAGTGTCCCTGCATAGGCCCCAGGTTCCAAAAAAGCCAGCTCATGCACTAAGGACAGGTCCCGGTCCTACTGCCTGGGGGCCTCCTAAATAGTTCAAGCTAATCAACTGTCTCACTTATCGAGAGGGCCTGATCCATTTGGGGGCTCCTCAGCTATTGGCTCATAGTTCCTGTGTTTCCATTAGTTTGATTATTTGTCCCTGTGCTTTTTCCAATCATGGTCTCAATATCTCTTGCTTTACATTTTAAATAGAAAAAAAAAATAAAATAAAAGTATTACTTTAGTTACTCAATGCTTCCTGGGGTACAGTATGGTACCTAGTATTTTCAGTAATTAATTGACCATCATAACAACTAGTTTTGGGGTTGGAGAGATGAATCATTCACATAAGGATCTGAGGATCTGAGTTTAAAGATGGGTAAGACTGATCCAGGCACACATGACTTAAAAACAAAACTACTTACAAACTGCTTGCTGTGGTTTTCATCAATGAACACTCACTTACCTATATGACTACATTATATTAGCATGTATTGGATCAAAACATGTTTGACCGAAGTGCTTTAAAGAACACTTAAATTAAAAACAGCCATGAATGCCCAAATGCATTAAACAATGTACAATTTGCCTCATAGCTTTGTTAGACTCTTCCACCTGCCACACAACCATTGTTTAAAAACAAAACAAAACAAAACAAACAAAAAACACCTTGACATGTCTGTGTAAGTATGGTAAGGCCTTGTTATAAAAATATTAAATTTTATGCTGTATATGTTATAAAATATTTTCTGTAAATTTTGTAATTCCTTTCCTTACATGGCATAGATTTTAATAGTTGTATGTAGGCTGTATATGTTCTGAAGTATTTTCTGTAAATTGTGTCTGTTTGTAATTTCCTTCCTTACATGGTGTGGGTTTTATTTAACAGTTGGCATGTTTTGTTAAAGTACATTCACCATACTTTGTCTGCCGCAGGAAATTCCTTTATCAGAAATTTTATGTCTGGAACCTGCCAAGCCTTCAGAATTAATTCCCATTGGAGCTAATCCTCACTGTTTTGAAATCACCACGGCAAATGTAGTGTATTATGTGGGAGAAAATGTGGTCAATCCTTCAAGCCCTCCACCAAACAACAGTGTTTTCCCCAGCGGCATTGGCGCAGATGTGGCCAGGATGTGGGAGGTGGCCATTCAGCATGCGCTCATGCCTGTCATCCCCAAGGGCTCCTCTGTGGGCTCAGGAACCAACATACATAGTAAGTCCAATGGCTGCAATCTGGCATGGCATGCACTCAGGCTCCTGATGGTTCAGTAACAGACCTTTTGCTTCCCCAACTGAGACAGTGAAGAAAGACTCCGTGTGCTGGCTTCAGTTTGTGGGAGAATATGGAATTTGTGAAGAGAAGCTGCTATGCTTACTAAAATACCTCCTTCATTAAATTATTGTATTTATTGTATATTAGAACTTCTACAAAGTCAAGTATAACCTATATACTAAACAATCACAAGTGTCCAGAGCTATTGTTCCCCAAAGAACCCATCCAGTTAGTTTGAATTTCACTCAAATACCATAAATATGAAAAAAAAAATATTTACCCCAAATCACATCTTATACTTCTCTACTTGGTGCCTATGATATAAAGACCATTGTGACAGTTGATTACCTTATCCCAGGAAGAAATTTGTGTGCATTATTTAAAGAGATTTCAGACAGAATACAATCAAAATGAGATATTATAGATAAACCAAAAATTATAGAGGAATATCTGTATAAAATTATGATCTGAAGCTCCATCATATTTATTAACCATGCAGCCTGCAGCTTAACCTGTTTTAGCATTTAGTATATCTCATCTGTCATGATTATCATCTTTCTCTTCAGCCAGTATATTAATAAGATATATGTGATTATTCTGAACATAAAGAATGTACTGTAAATAAGCTAAGCAGTTCATCAGAGCCCTCTATTTTAATGTCTAGGACTCCATCAATTTGTGATTTGTCTACATTCTGACAGAAACAATTAATTTCTAGAAAATTAGTTGTCTGTCAGCTCTTACTAGAATCGCTGTGTGTCAAAGCCAGAATTGTAACCCAAGTCATTTTTAATCTGAGCTCTATGCTAACAAATATATTTTAAAAAACCAAGTATAGACTGAGTTTGTAATTTTAAGGGGTATAATATATTCTAATAGAACTTTTGCAGAAAAATTTAATTGCTGTGATTAATGTAAACGTGGTCCCCTGGGATGATTGATACTCACTCTTTTTTTTTCCAACACTTCATCTACTTTATGTCTGTTTTTTAAACATGAATTTCCAGAAGATATTTCCGTGAGCATTTCAGTTTCAAATTGCCAGATTCAGGAAAATGTGGTGAGTTTGTGTCTATTAATATAAATCTCAGAATGTGATTACTGAAAAATAAAAAATATCATATGACAGACTTTAATTTATCTAATATCTTAAATTTTCAATGTTTTCTAAATAAAAAAATACTATTTGAGGTATATTTTCTTCTATGATATTTTATAAATAGTACACTGTGTATTGATTTTTCCAGATTCTATAATATAGTAGCAAAGACTGTTTATCATAACAGACATTCAGCGTGTAATGTAGGATTTTTCACATTTATCCTTTTTTTAGACCAAAATAGGACAAATGGTTTATTGAGAACAATGCAGGAAGGTGGAAGGCTTGGTAGCTAGAGTGCCACTGACCTACACTTGATACTTGAATTTTTATGGTTGATATTGTACTGTAAAATAGATATACAAATAAAATAATTTTTATTTGTACAAATTCTAAAACATGTCATAGATTACTTCTTTGTTAACAAGGAGTGCTAATAAATGACAAGGGTTGCAGATGTTCTCGGTCAAATATACATGCCACAGTCTAGACCTCAAGAAAGTAGCAGACATTAGAACCCCCTGTCACCCGTGCCCCCAAGGGGATCTGTTCAGTTTTTGGAAGTTACAGATCATGTTGTAAGATGTTTCACATGCTGTTGTGTTTGCTTGATTTCATCACGATAGTCAGTACCCAAAGTAAGGCCTTTCCTACCTCATTCTGTGACCAACAGCATTAACTGTTCACTATACCTAAGACCAAACAGAACAGTTTACCATGCAGGTTCCAGTGACCTAGGATTGTTTATCAAAGAATAAACTCCATGGATGTTTGTCTGGGACTACCCTTGCCCCTGAAATACTTGTTGAACTGTTTTCATCTGGACAAAGGCAACGATGAATTACATGAGAAAACTTCATTTTGAAGTTAAATGGATGCTTGGGCTGTTCATCCTGAGATGCATCTCTCAAGACAGCAGGTTTCTCCTGCTCTTGCTTAAACAGAAAAGGCCCTGGGAGATGCAGGTTACTCTAAATTTCCTGGGTTGTTCCCAGGTAACCACAGAGGCATTTTACCCTAGTTGACCATTGTTATCCACTGAAATTTTTGAATTGAATTTTCAAAGGAAGTCTAAAGAGTTTTGAGGTCACCTTGTGAATTCTTCAAAGGGATCACAGCACACAGGCTTTCTAGTTATTTTCTAAGAAGAAAGAAGGCAAGGGGTGGGTATGATAAGATTACAGTCAGAAAGTCTGTTAAGATATATAGTGCCAGGTGGATAAAATGTAAAAGTTTTGTACTGGTTCTATGAAGATGCCTACCAAATGTCAAAATATGAAGCCCAGATTAGCTCACTCTCAATTCAATAATTATTATTTCACAAGTGAATACTGAATGGTTTATTGATATAGAAAGTAGGAATGCTAGAATAGTTGTCTATAGCTTAAGTTCTTATAGAAATGAGAACTCACCACGAGTAGCCTCACTGTTCTGTCCAGACTGTAAAGCAAGATTGTTATAGACATGTGATGGGACCTCAGAATAGTTAATGAAATTTCTAGACTAATAGTATAGAAAGAAAACTCCTTTTTCAGGTATTTATCATAAATAGCATTGGTTGGTTTTAGGTTCCATTTCTCTCTGTTGTATCTCAAGCACTTAGTAGCAGAATAGTTTTCTAAATGTATTTTCAAAATAGTTTCAAAATGTATTAATGTAATTTGAATATTATAACCATTGGAATTTTATCCAACATTTATAAGTCTGAAAAGATCTTTGATATATTTAATTATATGTATATTCAATAAGGTAATAATAATTATAACTCTAAAGTGTAATAGAATTTAAGCTTGTTCCCCCATCTTTGTTTTCTCTGGGTGTATACCTATAGGACATCAGCACCGTCTATCAGATTTTTCCTGATGAAGTTCTGGGTTCTGGACAGTTTGGAATTGTTTATGGAGGTGAGTTAGTTCAATAAGTGATTTTATGAACTTAAAATTTTAGGCACCTGTGTATAAAAGTATTATATTACCAAGAAAAATATAAACATGGAAAGATATATATCTGTGTGTCTAGGAGTCACTTTGGGAGAAGTTTCTCCTAAGAAGCCATTCTTTGAAAAACCGGTAAAATTTGAAAGACTTTTCTATTCCTAAAAAGGTTTTGTTGTTGTTGTTGTTATTGTTATGTCTTTGCAAGCCCTAATCACAGTGTTGAAGCAGTTTGATTAATTTATTTAGACAAAATATTGTGGAAACATGGAGGCTGTAATTTGTAAACCAGGCAGTTCCATTTTTCGCTCAGCCTCTTGGACTAGACTCTTACCGATTCTATTTGTCATTAAAGCCGAAATCCTTGAACTTTAGTGTTTTCCACAGTATATCCAGTTCATAGAATCTGAATTTTTAGCTTTTGAAGGCAATGCCAAGTTTTTCTTTAGTTAGATCCTAGATGGTTCAGTCATATTTCTTAAGTAATATTTAATTGTAAAGTTTTACCTGGTATAGAAAATGACATCTTAACTTTTCTTATATTGATAAGTAACAAGTTTTTTGTGAGCTTTTGTTTTATAAAATAATCCTAACACTTTTGCTTATTATGTACTTTTTATCATAAAATTATGAGAAATCTAAATATAGAATTTACAATATGAAAATGTAAATTGTCCTATTTTTCAAAGTAATTTTGATTTTTATAAAAATACTGTAATTTTTAATGAAAACCTAATGACTAGTAGCCCATCTTAATATGCAGTGCTGTAATAAGAGAGACCATGCTTACTTTTTCTGCGATGTAATAATTGCATAATAAAAATAATGGTAGACGGAGTATAGTAAGTATATGTCACAGCACATAGTGTGACAGTGATGCAGGAGTCATAAGTAAGACAAGAAGTCAGCAAACTCAAGACAGTTTGGAACACTGGACACTGAAGGAACTGAAATACTGTGTTGACGGGGTGGAGATTCACAAGGAAGAGCACACACATTAAGAGTAGACACACAGGAGATGAAGGCAGAGAGTCTAGAGGTGAGTGATGGTCACAGAGGCTGGGGAGTGGAGCTAACGGGAAGCTTGGGCTGTGTAGGAAGATGCTGCCGTAAATTGCAGAGTTCAAGTAGAGTCTGTATGAGTCAAGATATGAGAACTGGTGTTAAGAACGTGAGGCACAAAAGCAAGGCAATATGGTAATGAAGGGAGAAAGATTGAGATGCAGGACCAAGGCACCCTGGGAATAAAGATGTTGAAGGAATAGTATTTCAAGGTAGTTAATATGTCCAAAACTTGTCATTAAGTATATCTGTTAAATATTTAATTAATTAATTTCTAATGTTTCCCATTTTTATTTTAAAGGTAAACATCGTAAAACAGGAAGAGATGTAGCTATTAAAATTATCGACAAGTTAAGATTTCCAACAAAACAAGAAAGTCAGCTTCGTAATGAGGTTGCAATTTTACAGGTAAACTGTTTGATTCCCATTTGAGTTACAAATTCCCTTCCTTGACTTCTGTAAAACAATCAAAAGTTATCCTGATATCTACAGCTTAGATAATTAAGATCAATTTAACAGGAAAGGCAAATTGAGTCAGACTTGCCTGAATGGTACCCTCCTGAGTATGCAAAAGTTGTTCTTTTTTTTTTTTTATTTTGTTCTATTCATTCACAGTTAATACAGAAAATACTTGGAAACATTTCTATATAATGTTTGACACAGAAATCATCAAATAGAAGTATACAATGTTGACAGGAGGCAGTACATTTATAATTTATAACCCCAAATGTATTTATAAATTAGAAATGGAAAGATCTACAAATGAAATTATGAAGGTTCACCAAAGTCATTTAATCGGTCAGTTTCTCATTCATTTTTATGTCTTAATAATATTCTATTGTATGAATAAGCCACATTTTATTTCTCTCCAGTATTTGATAGCTATTTGAGTTGTTTTAACTTTTTTATTATTAGCAACACACTGCTGTAAACTTTCATGTACATGTTTCATAGGTGCACATTTTCAGTAGTTTGAGGATATATTCCTAAGGGTAGAATTGTTGAGTAACAGAGTAACAATGTTTTGCATTTTGACCAACCACCAAACTGTTTTGCCAAAGTGGCACACCATTTTACAATCTCACCAAATCCTTGTTTTTAAGGCTCTGATTTTTGTACAAAAGCATTCAATCATTCTGTCAGACCAAACCAGGAAAAGTAAGCTATAGTTCAGAGCTGTTCTATTCCATTTACTATGCAAAGCCATTCTTGGCGTTTGCAACTCTCAGCCCTTTTGAGTATTCTTGCAGTGTTCACCTTTTCCTCCACCACTTTTTTTTCTTCTTTTTTTTCTGGTTTATTTCTATCAATTACAAATGTATAAAAAATCCTCCATCAACGCTGCTGTTAGCAGCAGAACCTTGAGAAATATACCTTTGGTTTGCCTCAGAAAAGGAACACATATTGCACTGTAAAGTTTATAAAATTGGCGCAAAACATTGTGATAATGTTACAATACCAGTTTTAAGAATTCAGTGACTAATGGGGAGCCGATGGGATACATGCAGAACTGTGAAAGCGATCTCACTTAGCCAGCTGTACACGTAGACTGTAAATCTACATTCAGATCATTTCTGAATTAAGACTATCATCTCAGTTTATCTGTTGAGGTCAACCAGGAAACCCTAGAATATACCTTGATTTTTGCAAAAAACAAAATAGGGGGAGGGGTTTCTTCAGCATTTCAGTCCACGAGTAACAGTATCCTAACAGGCAAAGTGTTCTCTCACTGTCAACATAGAATGAACTGCTGCTGGAGGTCAACTTGGGTTTTAATTTGCATTAGCACTTACATGCATAGTAGTCCAAGTTGTTGACCTCATGACTTTAAAAAGTAACTCTAAAAAAGTAAAATGGCCCTTCTTGGAAGACTAAAGAAAGACATCCAGCCACAGCTGTAAAAAGTCTCATCAAAACAATATACCCTTTTATGAATTACGCCTCAATTAAAAAAAATGGCCCCAAATAAGAAGCAGCTCTGAAAAAAGTTGTTCTTTTTATGTACTTAATACCAACATTTACTATGTCATTAAATATGCATACTCTCAAGGTGGACATGCTGAATGCATTTTGTCATAGCTTAAAAATGACGTTACCTTCATAAGTCCTTCTCCTTTATGTGAACTGGATCTGTAGCTCTGAGCCTATGAGATGTGTAAGTAACAGGTACCTGAGGAAGAGATTGTCTTGGTTCTCCTGATGCCCTTCCTGTTTCTCCAAGTGAGTTTTTATTTGATGTGGCAAATGACAAAACTCTCCTTCACAACAAAGCCCTATAACACCAGAATATTTTATAGATGTTATTGTGTGTATATTGTATATAATTGTTAGAGTTTTTAGAAATCAAAGGGAAATTGAACAGCTACTTGTTAACTGGTCAATATAGCTTTCTATTCAATTTATATGTTTGATAAGTACATGCTTTTATATAACTGCCATAAATCCTACTTCTGCAAGTTAGTACTAATTTTTGATAAATAATTTTGTTGAAATTTTTAATTATGTATCAGTAACAAAGCAGTTTACTGCTCTGCATTTACTGTTTCATTTAATTCCCATTTATTGAGCTTTGTATGTAAATATGACAGATTTGGTTTTAGCCAGACCTGAGAGTGTAAGCCTGTAATTTTAATATGTAGGTAAGGTTGAGGCAGGAGAATTGCTCGATGGACACCAACTTGGATTATGTAACAAGATCTAGTAAGAGAACGAGATGAGGATGGTGTGATGAAGAGGGAGGGGGAAACAAAGCTAAAGATAATGACAACCAAAAACCTGGGCCTTTTTGTATAGAAGAATAACATAGTTTTATGGTTCCCAGAATTTCTAAAACTGGGGTGTTTTTTTTTGTGCCTTTGGGCAACAGTGGAACACAGGGATCTATTCACAAGCGTACCCATAACCACGGTTACCATGCCAGTTCTTGTGTTCATATCTCAGCACTTGCTAGTCTGTAACCAGAAAAAATCCGTTTTAATGGTTGAGGCTGGGGAGACCGCTAAGTGGGTAAAGTGTTTGCCACACAAGCGTGAGGACCTGAGTTCAGATCCACAGCCCCACAAAGCTGGACATAAAGGAGGCATGCTTCTGTAATCCCGGCCAGCCAGTCTGACTAGTCACCGAGCTCCAATCCTGTGAGAGATACTAAGATAGTATAGATACTAAGTAATACCTATAACTTTAGCAAATGATGGCTTTTCAAGTCTGGCCCATCCTTCTTCAGTCCCTACTCCTACATGGTCTTCTGAGGTATATTCTTTTGCAGAGGAAGAACTCCCAGATGTGGAGTGGGTACTCTCCCACCTCTGGAAGCAGGTGCCTTGGCTTATGATGTACCTGGAGTCTTAGAAGTGCCCAAGGCTCTGCAGGAGATTGGGATGTAGTGCTGAGTAGAGAAAAATATCCCTTGGGTAGTTCTGCTAAATCCTTCTTGTTGAGGTTTGGTTCTGACTCTGTAAAGCAGTATGTTAGTTTACAGAAGGCCTCACAATTAGGTAAATATAGTATGAGAAAAAAAGCAGAATTCATCTTTTTTTTCCATATACATTTTTTTCTGTGTATATGAAGGGATTCTATTATCTTATTCAATCATTAGAACATTATTCTCTTTAGCTGTTTTTGAGTAACAGAAGGTTAAGGGTAGCAAAAGGTAAGGGATATGGACCATTTATATCTGTTTTCATTATCTGTAAATATTTCATTATTATAATATCTCAGGAAAAAATGTTAATGAATATAGATTTTAAAGTTATTGCATAATATTCCCAAAGGGCACATTCATGTCATTTTGACTTCTTTTCATATCAACACAATTAGAATTAAAGAATGGCTGTTTGTTATTATCAGGGATAGTACGGAAAACTAACATAGAAATATCTATGTATTGTAGAATGCTTTAAATTCAAAATCTAACATAAGTATGGACGGTATGGTATGCTTAATGAAATATAAATCTTCTTCCAAGGCTTGTGAGTCAAGATGAATTTTATGTGATAACACTATCAGAGCACATACAAAGCTATACTTAACATGTATGAATATTATTCTATTCACTATCATAGTGTTTTTTTCTTTTCTTGAAGTATACCTTTTGTTTACCTATATAAAGAATAATAGTAGTTTCTATTGATGATACAATATAAGAAAAAGAACTTTTGGAATTATAAAACATCAATATGGTACATAGAGTAGAGTATACAAAATATAGGAAAATATTTATAAACTCTTTGGTCCATTTATTTAGTATACCAAAACCTTACTTTTATAAGTATAAGTAGATTTCTGTAATTTCTTATCTGCCCATCACTTGTAGCATGAATCTTAAAAGGTCTTATTAAATAAAAAAACCTCAGGAGCCAGGTATTGGGGTAAATTCTGAAAGATAAGAGAGACGGAACAAGCCACAGCTAACCTCACCTTGCCAACTTCTCCTGTTCCTCAAACTGGAAGCTTCTGAGTCCTCACCCAAATGGATCTCAGCTGAACTGCTGCTAAAAGCCTAAAACTTTAAAAGCCTAAAAACCTCTAGTTCCTGGCCCTCACGACTTATATTCCTTTCTGTTTCCTGCCATCACTTCCTGGGATTAAAGGCGTGAGTCACTATGCCTGGCTGTTTCCAGTGTGGTCTTGAACTCACAGAGATCTGGATGCATGCATCTCTGCCTCCCAAGTGATAGGATTAAAGGCGTGTGTGCCACCATTTTCTGGCCTCTATCTATCTAGTGGCTATTCGTTCTCTGTTCCCCAGATAAGTTTATTAGGGTGCACAATATACTGGGGGACACAATATCACCACAATCACTCTCTGCTTTTTAGTCTTTATCAGACTTGATTAACTTAGTCCTTCCAAAGGACTGCAATCTGGAAATCAGGGATACTACAAAAGGAGTTGTACCTCGTAAAATTGTGAAAGGTGTACAGCTTTCTGATAGGCAAATACATGAGAGAAAGGGACAATGGGCTGAGAAACACTCTTAGCAAAGAAACTATTCTTCCAAAATGAGTAGAAAAGTTGTAATCATTTTTTGAAATTTAAGAGTGATATTCAAGGGGTTTTCACCATACAAATCCAAGCACAAACCCAGTGAAGGGATCGAGGAGAAAGAGGCATAGCTAATAGGTCTAGAGTTTTGTAGCATTGAGTTTTGAAAAATGATTTCTTTTATTTACATATATGAATATACAGATACACTCAAAAATATATGACTATACCCTGTGCAGTCTGTATAATATTACATGTATGTCTGTTTTCTGGGCTGACTTTTTGGTATTGGTATGCTCCTACCTGGAGAAGACTGTCTCCTGATCACAGCATATTTTTTGTTGTTGTTTTTATTTTTTTTTATTCATTTTACATACCAATCACAGATTCCCCCGCTCATCCCTCCTCCCACAACTCCCCATCTGCC